ATAGCAGTAGAATACACATTCTTTTTCACACATAGATTGTACATTAGGTCACAAATCAAGTCTCAATAATTTTTTAAAAATAAATTATATCATGTGTATCTTCTCAGATTAGTATTACAAATCAACAAGAAGATTGGAAAATATACAAATAAGTAAAAATTAAATAGCATGCTCCTAAATGACCAATCAATAATGGAAGAAATTAAAGGGAAAAAAACGTTTATAGAAATTAACGAAATTGAAAACAAACATAACAAAATCTTTGGGATACAGTAAAAGCAGGACAGAGGGAAATTTATAGCAATAATGCATACACCAAAACCTAGAAATGTAAACAATGTAACAAAGCACTTGAAAGACCTACAAAAAGTCAATAAAGTTAGTGAAAGGAAAGAAAGAATAAAGATCAGAGAATCAATCAATCAAAACAAAAAAGTTCAAATGATCAGTGAACAACAGAGTTTTGTTTGTTTGTTTTTGAAAGGATTAATAAAATTGACAAAACTTTAGCTGGGCTAACCAAGAAAGAGAGAGAGGGGGGGAAGAAAGAGAGAGAGGGGGGGAAGAAAGAGGTGGGGAGAGAGAGAGAAAGCTCCAAATAAAGTGAGAGGCCAAAAGGAAACCTTGCAACTGATACCACAGAAATACAAAAAATAATAATAATAATAAGAAGAAGAAACTACCTTGAACAATTAATTATATGCTTCAAAAACAGAAAACGTAAAACAAATAGATAAATTTTAAAATACATACAACCTACCTAATTTGAATAGAAAAGAAACAATCTAATATTAATTATAAACATATATATAATGAGATTATAATAACTAAAAATAATTTAAAATCTCTCTTCTATAAAAGTCCAGGACCCAATGGCTTTAGAGGTGCAGTCTAGAAAACATTGAATGAAGAACTAAACCCAATTCTTAAACTGTTCATATTAGAAAATTGAATTCAACTGTGTATTAAAAAGATCCTATATACCATGACCAGGTAGGATTTGTCCCGGGACAAAAGGATAGTTCATCATATACAAGTCCATAAATGTAACACAACAACACATCAACAAAATGAAAGACAAAAAGATATGATCACTTTACACAGAAAAAGCATTTCATGATAATTGAGATCCCTTCATAATAGAACTCTCAAGAAATTTGGCCTAGAAAGAACCTACCTCAAAATCATAAAATCAAAATATAGTATAATAAGACAGGTAATATACTGAATGGGGAAAAACTGAAAGTGTTTCCTCTATGATTGGGAGCAAGACAAGGATATCTAATTTATCTCTCTTATTTGATATGTTACTAGAAGTTTTACCAAGAGCAATTAGGCAAGAGAAATAAATAAAGGAATCCAATTAGAAAAGATGAAGTTAAATTAACTGTGTTTGCAGATACATGATTCTCTAGATAGAAAAACCTAAATACTCTAAAAATTGTGGGACCTTACAATAAATAAATTCACCAAAGTAGCAAGATACAAAATCAACAAAATAGTCACATTTCTGCACCCAAATAAAAAACATGTTGAAAAAGAAATTAAAGCAATTTCATTCACATCAGCTACAAAACAAATAGACTTAGGAACAATCTTAACCAAGGAAGTGAAAGAGCTCCACAATGAAAACTGTAAAACACTGAAGAAAGACATTATAGAGGACAGCAAAGGAGAGAGAGGGAGAGGAGAGAGAAAGAAAGGAAGACAGAAAGATAGATAATACATGTTCATATTCATATTCATGGATTGGAAGAACTGATATTGTTAAAATAACCAGACTGTCCAAAGTAATCTAAAGGTTCAATGTAATTCCCATCAAAATTTCAATGACTTTTTTCACAGAAATAGAAAAAAAAAAAACCCTAAAATTCCATAAAACAACAATAACAAAACAGAATAGACAAACTGATACACAAATGAGAAAAACAAACAAACAAAAACCTAGAGGCATAATACTTGTCTTGAAAATATACTACAAAGTTCTGGTTACTACAACAATATGATAGTAGCTTAAAAACAAACCCATAGAATAATGGAATAGAATAAAGAACTCAGGAATCAATCACGCTCATCTGCAACTGATTTTTGACAAAGGTACCAAGAATATACAGCGGAAAAGACAGTTTCTTCAATTAATCGTGCTGGAAAAACTGTATTGCTTATGTGGAAGAATGAAACTGGATCCCTTTCTCTCACCATATACAAAAATCAACTAAAAATGGATCAAAGCCCCAAATCTTAAAGCTGGAACTATGAAATTATTACCATAAGAAAATGGAGGAAACACTGCAAGACAATGGCATAGGCAATGATTTTTTTACATAGCACAGGCAACCAAAGTAAGAATAGACAGATGAGAGTATATCAAATTAAGAAGCTTTCACGTTGCAAAGGAAACAAGAAGGAGGATTGAAACAATCTACAGAAAGAGAGAACATATTTGCAAATGATACATCCAACATATGTATATGATGTATATGATGTATATGTCGACATCCAGAATATACAAGGTACTAAAACAGCCTGTTATGGTTTAGATATTAGGTGTCTTCCAAAGATCATGTGTGAGGCAATGCAAGAAGGTTTAGAGGAGAACTGATCGGGTACGAGAGCCTTAACCCAAGCAGTGAATGAATTCCCTGATGAGAATGACTGAGTGGAAACTGAAGGCTGGTAGGGTATGGCTGGAGGAGGTGAGTCATTGGGGACATGCCTTTGGCGTACATATTTTATATCTGACAAGAGGTGTGTGTCTCTGATGTCTAATCATCATGTGAGCTGCTTCTCTCCACCACACTCTTCCACCATGATGTTCTGCCTCACCTTGAGCCCAGGGGAATGGAGCCTGCTGTCTATGGATTGAGACCTCTGAAACCATGAGCCCACAAATAAACTTTTCCTCCTCTAAAATTGTTCTTGTCAGGTCTTTTAATCACAGCAGTGAAAAAGCTGACTAATACACAGCTGAACACCAATAAAACAAACCCAACTAAAAATGGGCTAAAAAATAACAGACAATTCTCTAAAGAAAACACACAAATGACCAACAAGTATGTAAAAAAAGCACTCAATTTCAATTATCATCAGAGAGATCCAACTCAATATCACAATGAAATATTATTTCACCCTAGGTAGAATGGCTATCATCAGGAAGACAATAACAGATGCTGGCAAGCATGCAGAGGAAAGGGAATTCTTGTACTCTATTGGTGGAAATGTAAAGTAGTATAGCCAATATGGAAAACTATTTGCAGATTCCTCAAAAAACTAAAAATAGAACGCCATATGATCCACTGATTCCTTTACTGGCCATATATCCAAAGGAGGTGACATTTTTATTCCCCTCAAAGAGGTGTGTGCACCTTTTTTCCTGTTACAGCAGTAGTCACAATGACCAGTACATGGAATCAGCCTAGTTGCCCAGTTATCCTTTAGCAAGAAGAATGGATAAAGAAAATGCGATATCTTTACACAATGGAATGCTATTCTGCAAAAAAAAAAGAAAAGAAAGAAAGAAAGAAAGAAAAAGAAAAAATGAGAGAAAGAGAAAAATAAGTTAGTTCTTGACCTCATAAATTCATGTTGGTTTTTAGAAATCTGATTTCTTCTTCTTTTGTTTTTTCATGAGGCATCCTTTTTATCATCTGCTGTACAACTTTGGTAAAGAACCATTGTTAAATATTAAACTTACTAGCCCATGTTTGCAGGTACATTTTAATTAAAAAAATAGAATAGTTTGCTCTCTTTCTTTTCATGATTCTTCAAGACCATACAGTATGTTCCAGAATACTCACCTATGAGATTTCTCAATTCTTGGTACCTTATTATGTCACTCTTTTATTCTAATAGTTCTAAAGTCATTTAGCATAGCCAGCTCCTGTCTTATAATCCTAGCACTGGTTTACCTTTGATTTTCACTTGCCAATATCTCTCAGATGATTCTATAACTTTTTTCTCTTAAAATTACAAACACAAGAGTCAATGTTTTGTTCTTTAAATGCATTAATACAGTAAACTCAAACACAAGAATAGCAATAAATCCGTGCATATTACACTTTGTGAATAAATATGCTTTTGCATATGTAATTTTTATTTGTCCCAAACATGATATCAGGAGTTTCTTATCAGTATTTGAGTTCTCATCTCATTATGAATATTGGATTTCTGGATGATATCCCTAGATAGCTACTGAGATTTTATCTATTCATTCTGGATTGTGTGTATACAAATTTTTGTTTCTGGAAATCTAAAAGCATCATAGTTTCCTCTGTAACAGAATAACTGGAAGACAACTCTTTTTATTCCTTATTAGGAGCATTTAGATTTACAAACCCTGAATTTCTTTGAAATTTTGCATCTTGTTATATCAAGCTGTGATTAATTGATTCTTTTGACAAAATATCCAATTATGTTGAACCAAACTTTTATCTATAATGAAGTAGTCAATTTCCTATATTCTTTAATAGTCTGTTTTCTCCAATCTCAAGAGCTCATCTCGGTATACGAATCCAGGCTCACTGGGATCAGATGCATTGTTACTTCCATAGCTTTCATTGCCATCTCAAGGGAACTCCACTTATGAATTCTTGATTTCTTCATCTCAGTATTTGAGAAAGATGTGTCTTTGAGAGTGGGAACTCAAATAAGAAGCCATTGAGCTATTCCAGAATGATGTAATCATTTTAAAATTTGCCTTAGGAAGCATTAGGGGAATTAAAAGAAAGCATAGAATTATCTATCACAATAAAGTACTTTATTTTATTTTTATGGAACCACACACACAAAAAAATGTTAATAATTTTCCTGAAAAAATTTAAGATGATACTTTCTAAGAGGAATTTCAAGGCCTACTGAAAGTGGTTCCATGTGTATTAAGAGATCTTGGGATCTATATGTATATCGAGATAGTAAAGCATTTTAATATTATAATCTATATTATACATTTAAGAGAACAGTGACAATATAAGTCCTGTCTGTGTAATTGCTCTTTCTTATAGAAGGGATACACATTTGTGGCTGAAGCATTTACTGGTGACATGTATGCAGCAAGCTCTCGATGGAAGCTACGCCTCATTGGTTCTTACACTCCACTCCCATGCCTCTCCCGGGAATCACCTTGCAATACCTTCACCATAAAAGAAATCAGAGATTACTACATACCCAATGATAAGAAAATTTTATTCAGGTATAAGTATATGATAGATGGGGACAGGCATTATTTTAAAAATATTAATATTTCTGGATAAAAATTGATTCTGCAGGAAAATCTTGCATCCGTTTTGAATTTCAATTTCTATACTCATTTGGAAAGAATGAATTTAGTGTAATGTGATTACATGGGTGTTTCACAGGATCAAGACTACATGATTGCACATAATGTTAATGATGTTTTCTTAGACTTCATCTTACTTGACTTTAGTTACACATTCTCCTTGATACTTCTTTCTCCTTGTTCAGCTCCATCTCTGCTCCATCTCAGTTCCTGGTGGGGTTTCTCTTCTACCTGTCACCTTGACCCTTTTATGCTCATCTATACTCTCCTTGAATATCCTGTGCATGGAATCCAAGCTCTTTCATTAACTGGTTCTGTTGATTCTAATTCTGACATGTCTCTGCTCGCCCTCCTCTCTATTCTCAATGTCCCTGCACTACTTCAGGCCTTTATTATGTTTAAGCTATAAAACTGTTGTTTCTGGAATCTATGATTCCATTATATTCCATTTTTTACTCTATCATTCTCCCTTTATTCACTTATATATTCATACTTTATTCCAGAGCAATCACTTTTCTAATACTCATATTTAAATGTGATTTCCCTACCACAAAATCTTTGACAGTGTCTCACCAATTATAGAATAAAATCCAGATCACAAAGAATGGAGTTCATCAGCCTCACCCAGTCATCAAGCACAGTGAAACCTCTCACTGGAACTAAAGAGCTCATCCTGACATATAGACCATACAGTTTTATTGTGTATTTGTTTTTCCTCTTATCATGGGATATTCTCTCTCCACTTCTACACTTAGAAAAATTTATCATTTTAATAATAATATTCATCAATAAAATCTTTGCATTAAAGACTGTAGATATAGTTCATTCAGGTGATGTTCAAGTCCTTTATTCTTTCTGAGAATATGACATACAAATTTTAGCTAATTACCTTCCCATGAACTTCTATGTGAATTGACATTAATGGAAGGCCAAACCCATGTCTTCAATGTGGGACTTAGCACAGCACCTGATACATAATTGGCCTTCATTAAATATTTGTTGGTGTTGAGTGCATTGTTGCAATACTAATTTTCTCTCTTGCATTTGTCTCACACATGAGCTTTTATGGGATAGTTCACATTTAAACCACAACATACTATTATGCACAGAAAATTTGGAAAATATATAAATATATTACTAAGTAAAGAAAAGTCATCCATAACCAGACAACCTAGAAATGACTATTGTTAGAATTTTGTTGTATTTTAATATAGTGTCCCAGTTGAACATTATTAGAATCATAACTGGAGTTTTATAATTCTGATCATTTTAAGTAGCATTATAGAGTTCCACACACTGGGCTTAAACAACAGAAGTGCATTGTCTCACAGCTCTGGAAGCTCCAAGTCTGAAATCACGGTGTCAGCAGGGTGGGTCACTCTTGAGGGCTGTGCAGAGAATCTGTCCTTTCACTTTTCCTGGCATCCTGTGGTTTGGTGATAATTGCTGGTGCTACCTGGCTTGTGGATCAGCACCCCAATCTCTGCTTCAATTTCTGCATGGTGTTTCTCTTATGTGACTCTATTCCTAAATTCCCCCTCTTTATTATAAAACCACCAGTTATGTTCCATTAGGACTCTTTCCCAAATGACCTCATTTTAACTTGATTACCTCTGAAAACTCCTATCTCCAAATAATGTGACATTGTGAGACATGGGGTGGTGAGAACTATAAAACATCTTTTGTGAGAGGAGGGGACGCATTTCAGTCCATTATAGTGACCTGGATCTGGAGAGAGGAAAAAGGATTTTAACAAATCAAGGCAAAAACTGAGAGCCTTGATTTATTGGAATACCTGGGGCTTGACAAATATTTGGATAGTGCCATTTATGCAGTAGAGGATACAGAGGGAGAAAGTCATGTGTAAGGTGGTGGTCAACAGGAAGACAATTAACTCCTTCCTAGCTGTTTAATAGACAAGCAAAATAGCCACGTGACACAGGTATATGGCTGGTAGGACACTTTTGTTTGGGAATTGTTTTTCTGTTTTGGCTTGTGGGGTACCCAGGAAATTGTATAAAATGAGAATCAGACTCAGAAAAGAACATTAGGATTCTCTTGATATTTGTGGGAACGTCAATGTCTGAGAAGCCTGAAAAGAGCAGTCCTGAAAAAAAGAGGGAATGTTGCTCTGCTCATGGGGGGGATTTTTAAAGCAGGAGGAAATGAAGGTAGAATCAACCCTGTCAGTTTCTCTTGAGAGGTCAAGGAAGACGAGAACTGAAGTTTGTATACAGTAGTGATAAGCTGCTTGACACCTTGACAAGAACACGTTTAGCACCTGGGTTGGTGACAGAGCAGACTACAGAAAGTGACATGGTGAGAAGAGCAGAAGTAGGTGATCTACCGAGATGGCTCCCAGAAAGGAAGTGTGGCCATCCGGACTGCAAGGTGGATGTATTTGCTTCAACTGCACATGTAGGAATGTTAATGACAAGGAGGAACAAAGAGAGAGTGTTTATGATACAGGTAGCAGGATACTCAGAAGGGCAAGTTTGTAGAGAAGTGGAAAGTTGATAAAGTCCTGAGCATTTGTAAGGAATCACTAGAAATAGAAAAAATGAAAACAAAACAAAATAAGACAAAACAAACAAGGCCCCTACAACTCTTCAGTGGCACCAGGGAGGAGTTAGAAAGTATGGGTTAGATTGCACGTTTTAGATTTTGAGGTTTCTCATATATACGGAAAAGGGTGAGGGTGGAGTCTGTGGGTGCTATTTCAGCTTCTCTGTGTGTTTGATAAATGAGAACACTGAAGAGTGATGCATGGAAGGCTTCTGCCTCTGTAAGCTGTGCTCTTTGTGCAACGTGAAGGAGGATCTGATGGAATGAGTTGGTGTGGTAGTAGCAGGTTGCAGCTCTATGAAGTATGGTGGCTTTTGGGTCTGTCAAGTTTCAAAAGTGGCTCATCATATCCAAACAAAAAGATGCATTTCCTACTTGGGGATTTAAGGATGATAAAAGTAGACTCATTTTGTTTCACCCTACCATGTTGGGATCCTTTGCTAAAGAGGACTTCACAGCGTGGTTTTACTTTTTGACAATGCTTTTAGAAAATTATGCCATTTTGTTTACTGACTTGAAGAAAAACAATGCACTTGCTTATGAAGTTCATATTTTTCCCAATAGGTATTGTGTTAAAGTGGCATTACAGCATCCTCTTACAATACAGGTACGTACATCCAAGCCAGACGTATTCATCAAGCTTCAGGTGCTAGAAAATGAAGAAACCATGGTGAGCTCCATTGGAAAAGGCCAAGCTCTCATCCCAGTATTTAACTTCCTGGGGAGTGAGAAAACTGTGAGCTCCCAGTGTAAGTGTGCCTTTTGGACAGGGGGATCTGGATCCATAAATTATGTTTTTTGTAACATTTTTTAAAGGTTTAAAGATAAGACAGCAAGTTACCATCTAAATCAATAAAAATTGGTAGTAGAATAAAATATTTTTAAAAAAACCATTATTTGATGCCACTGACATTTGTGTTTCAAATTAGGCTATGACTATCAGCAGACTGGTTATAATTATACTTTAAAGACTCTTCACCTTGAAGAAAAATAAAAATTTATTTTCTTCTTTATGGGCTTTAATAATAAGAAGAATGTTCTCATTTTAAAAGACCTTTTGCCTTTCTTTTATTTCTAATTTATTGTTTTTTATAATATTCTATTTATTAAAATTAATATAAGTTTAAAATTAGGTTATTACTTTCTCTTATAGTTTTTTTCTGTTCAGTACAAGATTCTAGACTTTAAATAGAGGATACAATCTACTTACATTTGATTTGATATGCAGAATTTTTTTCTGCCATCCTGTTATATTTCTCTAATTGATTATATCTTCTACTTGACCTTTGCATAGCTATTTGGTTATCAGCATGCTTCCTGGGTGCTGCTTCCAAATAGAGCTGGTGTTGATTATCTTAAGTGTGCTAGCAAACTGCTAAAAATAAATTTCTTTTTATATATAAAATAAGTTTTGTACATATTTCCAGTCTAATATGTATATGTGGGCTTTTTGAGGGTTGGGTATATCTGGACCTACCAAGCAATATAGACATTAACTGGTGACACAGACTATTGACCTCTTTCCTTCTCTCCCTAACAACTGTGGGTGGGCAAGGTTAGGAAGAGTGGGCTGAGCTGCAGGCTACTGCAAATACTCTGATATCCAACCACTTTACACAGAAATTAGTAGTGTGAGCCTTTTTCTTTTCCTAATACAATGTTCTATCCAGAACAACAGTACAACTAAATGTTCAACATCTCCAGCAATTAGAGAAATGAAAATTAAAACTATACTGAGATTCCATGCCATTCTAGTCAGAATGTTAATTTATGAAGAACACAATTAATAATAAATGTTGGCAAGAATGTGGGGGAAAAGTTTCACTCGTACATTGCTGGTGGGACTGCAAATCGGTGCAACCACTCTGTAGAGCAGTATGGGGATTTCTCAAAAAACTAGGGATGGGACCACCATTTGACCCAGTTATCTGACTCCTCTGTATATATACAAAGGATTTTAAATCAGTATACTACTGTGACACAGCCACATCAATGTTTATAGCAGCACAATTCACAATAGCTAAGCTATGGAGCCAACCTAGGTGCCCTTCAACAGATGGATAAAGAAAATGTGGTATATGTACATGATGAAGTATTACTCAGCCATAAAGAAGAATAATTTTATGACATTTGCTGGTAAATGGATGGAAATGGAGACTATCATGCTAAGTGAAATAAGCCAATCCCCCAAACCAAAGGCTGCATGCTTTCTCTGATATGTAGAAGCTAACCCATGTAATGGTGGCAGGTAGTGGGGAAAACAGAAGTTTAGTGGAATAGACAAAGGGCAATAAAGGGATGTAAGGGGGATAGGAAAAGGACAGGAAGTGGAATGAATCTCACATAATTTTCCTAAATACAGGAGTACACCACAGTGAATCTCAACATCGTGTATATCCACAAGAAATTAATTTAAAAATAAGTAAATAAAAATAACAACAAAGCCAGATGCAGCGGCTCAGACCTGTAATTCCAGCGGCTTGGGAGGCTGAGACAAAAGGATTGAGAGTTTAAAGCCAGCCTCACAAACCACGAGGCACTAAGCAACTCAAATACAAATAGGGCTGGGGATGTGGCTCAGTGGTGGAATGTCCCTGAGTTCAATTCCCGGTAATAAAAAATTAAAAAAAAATAAAATAAAAAAATAACAATAACAGCAACAACAACAAACAATAAAGAAGAAAGCCCATGAAGCTTACTTAAATAACAAGTGCACAAAACAGTAAGGATCCTTTTGCTCAATCCACAGAATATTTCTAAATGATGTCTATATAAGTGGGATTTTAAAAGGCAATTTTATTTTTTAATTTAAAGGATTTAATGATTTTAATGATTAAAAATATTTATGTGTGTTTTTTCATGTATATAACTTGAGTGAATTTCTATGCACACATTACACCCATATTTTAATGAGTTTCCCTATTCTTATTAAACTATCCTTTTTATTCTAGAGAGCCCTTCATCAAATATATACTTTGCAAATATGATCTTCTAATCGAAGCCTTTTCTTTTTAATTCCTTAACAGTAAACTTTTAGTACAGAATCTTTTAATTTTGATAAAGTCAAAATTGTTGTTTTAAAAAAATTACAAGTATTTTTTTGTTTCATTTAATAAAAAATTGCTTCATCTAAGATGATAAATAATTTATTTGATGACTCATTTTATAAGTTGTATAATATTAACATATGTTTGCTTTTATGATCCATCTTGAAATAATTTCTATGTATGATATCAGGAATGAGGTAAATGTTCTTTTTACTCCCATGTGGATATCCAGTTGTCTTAGCATTGTATGTTGGAGATAAAATATTTTACCTATTGAATTACCTTGATAGTATTCAAAAATCAATTGACCACGTCTGTGTGAGTCTACTTTTAGACTCTGTTTTAATCAATTGATTTAATATCTATTTTACTCTGAAAACACATTTGCTTGAAAATCTTAGCTTTCAATTTTTATTTTTGCTTGTGTTGAATTTGGTGAGCTTAACAAAATTTGAGTTTTTCTGGCTCATGAATATGGGTGTATCTCCCAATTTATTTTAGTCTTCTATTTCTGTCAGCAATTTTCATATTGCCAATGAGCAGATTTTGCAATACTTTTTTAAAAATTTATTTCTAAGTATTTTACTTTTATAGGAGTTCCATCTAGGACTAAAAATACGTACATCATACCATTGATATCTGCATTACTTTCCTTGGGTTGCTTTAGCGAACTAGATTAGTTAAATTAGTTACCCATGATAAAGTATGGTTCAAAAATCTTAAATGGAAAATTCTAGCAATAGCAATTTATCTTGTGCCATTTTGAGTAGTCTGATAAAATCTTGCACCATTTTTCTTTGTCCTGCCCAAGATGCAAATCATCCCTTTTTCCAGTGTGTCCTCACGTTATACACTACATGCCCATTAGTCACTTAGTGCCTATCTAGCTTATCAGGTCATCATTGATCTTTGTCATAGTATCACAGTGTTTAGGTTCATGTAACCCTTATTTTACTTAATAATAGTCCCAATACCCAAGACTAGTGATGTTGGAAATTTGGATTTGGAAAGTGTTTCCTTTAAGTGAAAATGTGAAAGTACAAATACTTTAAGTGAGAGAGAGAGAGAGAGAGGGAGAGAGAGAGGGAGAGGGAGAGAGACAGACAGACAGACTACATCCACATAACTCTTAATACAGTATGTTATTATATTTTGTTATTATAATTAATCTCTTATTGTGCTTAACTTATAATTTTATCATATATATGTGAATGAAAGCTTTTTTTTTCTTTTATTGATTGCCCATCTTAGATTTTTTTTGGTGCTGTTGTTCTAATTAGTTATGCATGACAGCAGAATGCATTATGACTCATTATACACCAATGGAACACAACTTTTCATTTCACTGGTTATATGCGATGCAGATTCACAACATTTGTGCAATCATACATCTACATAGGATAATAATGTACATCTCATTCCATCAACTTTCCCACCCCCATACCCCCTACCTTCCCCTCTGCCCAATCCAATGTTCCTCCATTCCTCCCTTGTCACCTCCCCACACCCACCCCCTTTATGCATCAGCATCCACATATCAGAGAAAACATTTGGCCTTTGGTTTTGGGGGATTGAGTTTATTTTGCTTAGCATGATATTATCCAACTCCTTCAATTTACCTACAAATGCCATAATTTCATTATTCTTTAAGGCTGAGTAATATTACATTGTGTGTATATATATCCGAGTTTCTTTATCCATTCATCTACTGAAGGGCATCTAGGATGATTCCACAGTTTAGCTATTGTGAATTCATCTGCTATAAACATTGATGTGGCTGCATCACTGTACAATGCCAATTTTAAGTCTTTTGGGTGTATATTGAAGAGTGGGATAGCTGGGTCAAATGGTGGTTCCATTCCAAGTTTTCTAAGGAATCTCCATACTGCTTTCCAAAGAGGTTGCACCAGTTTGCAGTCCCACCTGCAATGTATGAGTGTGCCTTTTCCCCCTACATCCTCTTCAACATTTATTGTTGTTTGTATTCTTGATAATTGCCATTCTGACCGGGGTGATATGAAATCTTAGAGTAGTTTTGATTTGCATTTCTCTAATTGCTAAAAATGTTGAACATTTTTTTCATATATTTATCGATTGATTGTATTTCTTCTTCTGTGAAATCTGTTCAGCTCCTTAGCCTATTTATTGATTGGGTCATTTGTTTTTTCGGTGTTAAGTTTTTTGAGTCATTTATATATCCTGGAGATTATGGTGCTATCTGATGTGCATGTGGTAAAGATTTTCTTCCACCCTGCAGACTCTCTCTTTACATTACTGGTTGTTTCTTTTACTGAGAAAAAGCTTTTTTAGTTTAAATCCATTTCAATTTTTGATTCTTGATTTTATTTCTTGTGCTTTAGGAGTCTTGTTAAGGAGATCAGGTCCTAAGCCAATATGATGAAGATTTGGGCCTCCTTTTTCTTCTATTAGGCTTAAGGTCTTTGGTCTAATTACTAGGTCCTTCACCCACTTTGAGTTGAGTTTTGTGCAGGGTGAGATAGGGGTTTAATTTCATTTTGCTGCATATGGAGTTCCGGTTTTGCCATCACCATTTGTTGAAGAGGCAACGTTTTCTCCAATGTATTTTTAGATCCTTTGTCTAGTATGACATAACTGTATTTATATAGGTTTGTTTCTGTGTCTTCTAAGGAAATATCATCTTAGAGTTTGCTACTAACCTCAGTTTCAGGCATCAAACAGGAGTCTAGGAACATATCCCTATAGATTAGGAGAGACTATTGTACTACAATCTGGGTAACTTAACAAACAAACAAAAAATATTCTCTCACCATTCTGGAAGACCGAAAATCTTCACAAGGCTCATGTCTTTCTTTATGATTCTGTATCTTCTTATTTTCTGATTCTTCAAGGACACCATTGTTGGATTTAGCATGAGTATAATTCCAGACTGATGTCATCTCAGGATCCATACTTTAATTACAGATACAGCTACCCTATGTCAATTAAAGTCATATACTGAGGTTCTGTGTGTATGTATTTGTTTTGTGAGGGTCACTTTTTAATCTACTGCAATATCATACCATTAGCCTCTATCCATTATTCCACTCCATGTTTCTTTTTAGATTATTTCTATTACTTATCTTCAAGTTCACTGATCTATTATTCTCAATTTGATAGGAAATTATATTTCATACATAGTTAAATATAGATTTCTTTTGATTCTATATATATTTTATTTTTCTTGTTGGTGTTCACCATTTTTCGTTAGATATTCTCATCTTTTCCCTTAACAGCTTATGCAAAAGTTTTTTATTTTGTGTATATGTGGTACTGGGGATTTAACCCACAGAGAGTTTTTTTTTTTTTTTGCCATTGAACTACATCCTTAACCTTTTTATTTTTTATTTTGAGACAGGGTCTAGCTGAGTTGCCAAGGGTGGGTTCAAACTTGTAATCCTTCTACCTTAGCCTCCCACATAGCTGGGATTACAGGTGTGTTAAATCCATCATCTATGTCAGCTATGTATCTCCTTTTTTTTTTTTTTCACCAAGGATTGAACTCAGGGCACTCAACCACTGAGCAACATCACCAGCCCTATTTTGTATTTTTTATTTAGACACAGGGTCTCACTTACTTGCTTAGTGCCTCACTAAATTGCTAGGGCTGACTTTGAACTCACAATCCTCCTACTTCTACTTTTGTTGACTTTATTTTTCAGATGTGGTCACATTTCATGTTTCTTAATAGATCAATTATGTATTGTACATTGTGCATGCAACATTGTTAATGATCTAGATTATGCTCTCCTCATTGAAAGAATGTTGAACTATGTTCTGGAAGTTAGTTAATTTATTAACAATTTAGCATGCTTCTACCAAGATTTGATCATGAGATATTTTGAATCCAGTCCTGAGTTGCCATTACTCTAACGTCAGGCTAACTCTGTTCTTGAAGCTTGGACTTCCTTGGGTCTCAACAGCATATTCTGTGTGTTTATTAAATTCACTTCATTTTGGCAGGTGAGAACATCAATATCTCTCAATACTGTGCAACTAACAGAATCTCCATTAACTCCCCACTCCTGCTCCCAGATCTCTTCTAGTAGTTATGATCTGCCAGGAGTTATTGAGTGTTTGTAAAAAGGAAGTTCAGAATTCAGCAAAAGATTCAGATGAACTCCTGTGTATATCCTAAGCACCTCTGCTGCTCAGATATGTCTCTTTGCTTACTCAGTTGACAACTCCATATTTATTTCTGAACCTGGCAGAATTACTGCTCAGGACTGCACCTTCCTGTGTCTGCCTGAGTGCTTTCAGGCAGAAATCTGGGAAAGTAGAGAGATCACCTTGTACATTTTCTTACTCTCAAGGATTTCAGTCCTGGACTGTATATTGTCCAGTTGCTGAAAAGAGTTGATTTATAAGTTTTGTCCAATTTTATCATTCTTTTTATGATAGGAGAATGTGTCCAGTGCCCATTATTCAGTCATGACTAGAAATGGAATTTCTTTCTCATTCACTTAATGTACCTCCAAGTATATTTGAAAAATTAATTAATAACATTTAATACCTTTCTGTTTTTATTGCTCCCAGTGGTACTTATATCATCTGTTCATTACAAAATAATTAATATAGAAATTAAAAATTAAAGGAAACCAGTTGCCTGGTGTGTGGTGTCATTCATGCAACAGCAAATGAATAAGAGATTGTAACATATTCTTTTAGCAATCAGTGGTTGTTCAGAATATGTAGTACTCTATGCAGGTCACATATTATTAGAGTAGATTTCTTTAAAGCCATAATATTCCAAAGAATCCAGTGGTGGTAGTTTTTATCTTGTTAAGATAAACCTCTCCCTCTGAACATAATATAAAGGGATATAACTGTTTTAGTAATAGTTGTGCATATCACATATTAATATTATACTTACTATTTCTCTCATTCAGCTAGCAAGCAAATTCTTTCAAGTCACCTATCAACCAAAAAAGAGCCAGAAGTATATTCTAAGAAGAAATCTGCACAGGGAAGTCAGAAATCCTATAAGAGTAGACCTGGAAGTGCAATAGTAGATACTGGTCAGCCTCTGATGGAGGAGGAAGTGGTCACTATGTCATCTGTAGAAGAAAATTCTAGCACACCACAGCAGGTATATTAACATTAAAAATTATCACTCAATTGCACTGCTCCTAAAAAAATCTAACAATAAAATAATTCTCTTCCTAGAAGTTGTCAAATACTTTATATCTGCTATGCCATCAGTGAACAACCTGAATTGAAGAATGAGACTTTCTTGAACAGTTTCTCTATGCTAAGATCTTTAATCAAATGGCAAACTTAACCTCTATGCCAACCGTAGGATGTATATGTAATCATGTTAGTTTGAAAATAAGTTATAATACATACCACTAAAGGTCATATTCTTATAACAATTACACATTAATAAAAGGTGAGTGTATGTGACCCAAGTTAGAAAGGAAAAAAGACAATGCATTTATTTTAAAACAGCAGAATAAAATATGGCACAGCCATTGGAAACAATAGCATAAAATAGTAAAAGGAATTGAAAAGAAAATAAGGTGCCAGAAATATGTCATAATATGACAGTAATTACAATAAATATCAACATAATAATCAACTGAAAAGCTACAGTTCTAAAGTTATATAAAAATAATATTCAAGTATAAGTAGTTCTAAATAATACTTTTAAATAAAAGGTCACAGATAATGTAAAGACAAAATGAGAGGAAAATCTATCTGGTAAACATTAATCAAGAGAGAGCTATAATAATAATTTAAATGTCATAATACATAGACTTCAACAGGGATAGTATATGAAAATTAAAAAACAAATAAATAAAGTAGATATGACATTAAGAAACACAGAGGCACTTAACTACCAAGAGACAATAAATAAGACTCAAAAACTTTGATCACAGGGGAAAAAAAAGATAAGTGTACAATTCACAATTGAAGACTTTAATGCATGTCTTTCACAAACTAATAAATCAAGCTGAAAAACAAAATGAGAATGGTCGTGCATATATTTGTCAGCTTTTCGCCTCTGTGACAAAAATACCTGAGAGTAACAGCTTAGAGGAGGAAGTCATTTTGGGCTTATGGGGTCAGATTTCTTAATACACTGTCATCCAGCTCCATTGCTCTGGGTCCAGGGCAAGGGAGGACATCATGATGGAAGGGTAGGGTTGAAGAAAACTGCTCAGCTCAAGGTAGCTGGGAAGCAGAGAGGCTGGTTGAGGTATCAGAGACAAAATACAAACCCCAAAGTCATCCCCCAAGTGACCTAGCCACAGTACTACTTTCAAATAATTAATCCATGAAATGAACCTCTGAACATTGCTCCATTGTCTTACAAGTGAGCTTTTGGAGGGAAGTCCTTATCCAAATCGTAACAGTGATGATTTGAAAAATTTAATTACGTATCTAATTATGTAGATATCTATATAAAACACCAAGAAAACAGAGAACACAATTTTTCTTAGCACATCCAGGATATTTTTAAAAATACAGACCGTGTAATAAGCAATTAGTGGATTAAAATCCAATAAAATCCAAGCTATCTGTACTATGTAGTTATGTTTTCTTAGCATAATGCAATAAAATAGAAATTAATAATTAATGGATAGTGTGAAAGTCCCCAATGTGAAAATTAGATAAAATATATCAAATAAGAAATTATGCAAAGTATAGCACTCAATGATTATTTGAAAACTTTCAAATTGAAAAATTTAAGCAACATCTAAATACAACATCTAAAGTAGCATTTAGTGTAATATTGACTTTTAGATTAATTAATAAGGAGGTATGAATGATTAGAACTGTGTGGGCTTAGCTATTAAAAAGGAAAGGATTCAAGATCAACTCAAAACTGAAGAATGATTTTAATAATTAGGTCAGAAATCAATGAGATGGTGAGCAAAACGCAAAAAAATCAATAAACCCTAAGTACTTATTTCTAAGATTAATAAAGTAAATATACTTCTAGTAAAATCAATCAATTAAACAGAGAGAAGATATAAATTAGCCAAATGCAAAATTTAAAAATACAGTTGATGTATAACTACACCCTATAGGTGTTTTTAATGCTATTACTATTATAAACAACTCTATGCTAGCAAATTTAAAACCTGGCAGGGATGGGGGTTGGGAAATACACAAATTCCTGTGTGGGAAGAGGAGGTGGAGAATATCAATAGTTGATTCATAAGAAAATCTTAATAAAAGAACAAAAAATTATAAAATTAAATAGGTAATCAACATCTCCCAAGACTCCCCTTGTCAAAGTGCCAAAAGCCATGTCGATCAGACTTTCAAGGAGTAAGTTATTCCAAAAATCAGAAGAAAAGTTTAAACTTTCCAATCCTTTTAAGAGATTACTGTAATCCTGATTCCAAAACTAGATAAGAGTAACACAAGATAAATGCGTAAATTTTATTTATAAAAATGGATGAAGAAGTATAGATAACAGATAACCAGTTCTAATGTGCCAGGCAATCAGGGAGCATTCATCTCAGGAGTTCAGGAGTGGCTTGCAATTAAAAAAATCTGTCAGTATAAGTCACCACAGTAACAGATTAGATGAGAACAAAGGGATAACCCTGAAACATTTGATAAAGTTCAACAACCTTTGGGTATTTTTCAAACATTCTCTTATCAAACTAGGCATAGAACTTCTAAACTGCAAATGTTACATACCAAAAATCTTGAAATTAATTGAGAAATCTTATATACAAAAGCAATATATGAACATACAAAATTAAAGTGCATTTCTACTAAAATTAGGATAAGAATGCTCACTATCATTGTTGATATTTAGTGATACTGGAACATTATGATGGTGGAAAGTTAGAACAATGAGAAGAAACAAAATAGAAATTCCACTTCAAAGAATTACTGAGTTATTTACAGACTTATATGACCAAAGAAACCAACAGAATATGCAAATTCAGAATTAACAAGAGATTTTAGGAAGATTGGCAAGACATTACTAATAGCAAATTCTTGTATATTTACTTATTTACCAACTATGTACCTGTTACAGTGTATGTACATTGGTCTTTAATCCTCCCATCATCTTTTGAAGTAAACAGTTTCACTCTCTCCATGTGACAGTTGAGGAACCAAGAGCACATAGACCTTAAGTGATTTGTTCAATGCCAAATACCAGGTGTGTGCTAAAACTAAACCTGAACTCAGACAGGTCCAACTGGTGAGGCTATACCCTTACTCACCATGCTCTGCTGCTTCTACAACTATAACACTCAGTAGCCTTCCTCTACAAGCAGCACTAATGCATCAGACAGTAGAATGTGCCAACTCTTGCAACAGCAGCAAGTATCTAGACCATAACTTAACCAAAAATACACAAGTTCTCTACATAGAAAAACTTGATCCTTTAGTAAAGGTCATTGAGGTGATTAGAACAACTAAAGAATATAGATGGCTTCTCTAACACAGGGAAGCAGTCCATGCTTTTCAATAAGGTGTCATAATGGTCTTAAGACATCCTTTATTCCCCCAATTAATTTTTAAATTCGATGTGATGCTAATCAAGATTCCCACTGTGTTTTTCAGGATAGGAATGAATCAAAACTCACAAACAGTTAAGTCCACTTTAAAAAAGAAAAGCAAAGATAGGGGACATTCCTTTCTAAATATTAAGACAAACTAAATAGTCATTGCAATAAAATAATATTAGTACAAGAACACATAAATGAAGCAGCAGGAGAAAAACTAGAAACAGATCATGTTTCTATGAAAATTTGATAACAGTATTAAGATGATATCATAAATCAAAGGAGGAAAGGTAATCCATCAAGTAGATGGTACTACAGAAATGACCTCTACAAAGACAGAAATAAAACCAGACCAAAAGCTAACTCCATGAATAAAGGTGGACTCCAAAGTTATTTTAGATTTAATTGTGAAATTTTACTCCACAAAAGCAGTAAATGATGATGTAGGAGGCCATTTTTGTGCCTGAGCACAAAGAAAATCCTAAAAGTCAGAGAATGAAAAAAACTACTCAAATTCTTTAATAATTTGAAAACTGCAAAATACAGCAGCAGTGAGATTTCACTTTATACCCACTGTACTGGCAAAAAATAGAAACAGAAAATGGCCAGGCATAAGTGGAGATATGAGAGTGTAAACTTTTTAAATATATATTTATTTTATTTTTTTAGCTGTAGTTGGACACAATACCTTTATTTTATTTTTTTATTTTTATGTGGTGCTGAGGATCAAACCCAGGGTCTTGCACATGCGAGGTGAGCACTCTACCGCTGAGCCACAAGCCCAGCCTCGAGAGTGTTAAACTTATGAAGTGTTGTGCAATAGAGTTTGAGAACATCCAGTGTTATTGAATTAAATTATGAGCATATAATAAGGAAAAGTATATACTTATCACATGCCCAGTGTAACAAATTCTATTATGTACATATTGTGTATATTCCTATTGCTTATTCTTAAACACTGTGTTTTATTTCACAGAACTACAAGTATATCATACAGTGCTTGATATTGTATAATAGTTGGCCTCTCACTGAAAGTCAGCAGATATTTGTTCAAGCACTAAAAGAATTAGAGAAAAGTGATAACAAAGGTATGTCACCCTAAATGTTTGTATGTGCATGTTGCGTTTCATATAAATATTTAATACTAAGTGGATCACATAATTATTAGAACTGTTGTCTATAATTTATCTCCTGTGACCTGCCATATTTCCCATTGTGTTAATTATGTTTCACATTATTACTGCCTAGTTCCTGAAAAACAAAATACATGATTATTTAGGCCAATTTAAACACATTTTGTATAATTTGCAAAAATTACATATTGATTATACCTTAGCATTTTCAAGAAACACACAGGAAACTTTATTACATTTTAAAATTATATTTGTCTGTAGTTATTGGAAAATCATAAAACTAAAGTCAAGCTCTTCAAATATTAACAAATCTTTCAATTACAGATTGGGATGAAGTGTGTGTTTTCTATTTATGTGCTCAAATTGAAGCCCAATTGCCTAATAAAATAATACATGTACATTATTTTTAAAATAAAATAAAACTACACAAAACAAGAGAGAATAACATCAAAAGTAAAAGCTCCCTGATCCTATAAGCCTTAGTTCTAACATTCCATGCTAGACCACATCAGAGCTTCCTTGGTATTTTGTAGAGTTTTTAGTGCACATCTATCATACACGTGACAAGACAAACCCTCTGCTCTTATCATCCTCTAACAGTGTTCAGTAATTTCCCCTTTTCCCAATTTCCTTTCTGTGGTTTTAGTCATTAGTGGTCAACCATTAACTGAACATATTACCACAGTGCAATAAGGAATTAAGGTATTTTGAGAGAGACCACATTCACATAACTTTTAATATGGTATATTACATGTTATAATTATTGACTTTTATTTTTACTTATTTTTGTCAATTTCTTATTGCACCTAATTTGTTAAACTTTATTGTAGGTATGTATACATAGGAACAAACATTATATATAAATATATAGAGAGTTTGGTACTAACTGTGGTTCCAGGCTTCCACTGAGGATCTTGGAACATATTCTCCGCAGATAAGGGGGAACTTACTGTCTAAATTCCCCTATTAGAATGGAAACCTGGGAGGCAAGGAGTTCTGTCTATGTTTGCTTTTCTGATGCCTTGTGTAGCCACTGGTTAGGTATTGTCCACTCGATTAGCACTCCATAATATTTGTTGAGTGACTGAATGAAAGGAGACATGTAAACTACTCTTGTTATTATTGCCTTATTTACCAGTTGTTAAAAACTCTATTCAGGTGTTTGCTTGCCTGTGTTATCACCTAGACCCAAACAGGTAAGTGTTAATAGAGCTTCATTTATACAGAAGTTAAGAGAAAACGGTTGTTAGTACGTTTATTAAAAGGGCACATTCTAGTGTGGGTCATATGATTCAAAGAAAAATTATTAAAATAAATAAGAAGAGTCCCCACTTCTTCCCAATGTACTCTGTGTGCCTCGACTGTGTGGAAATCCTGACCTTGTTGGCCTCCCCTGTAGTGCTCTTCTCTTTGGGGAGAGGAACCATGTCTTTCCCAGACTCATCTCTGTGTCACTAGATCCAGACAGAATGTTAGTTCCCTAACATTCACTGAGTGGATGCGTGTAAGTGTTATGCCTGTGTCAGCAGGTGCCTAAATCCTGATGGCTCCCTGACCTGCCGTGTTGACAAGATTCTGAGGCTGGGTTTGTGCTCAGTGAGAAAATGTTGTCATCTTTGATCGATGTCTGACACAGATACAGGAAGAGAAAGCCGTGGCCTCTGAGCCACATAGTGGCCACTTCTTTTGCTATTCATCTGTGTCATGTATAACTCCCAAAGCAGTTGTTCAGGTGCTCAAAACTGGTTTGTGAACAAAAAAGCTGTGCAACTGCTTAATAATGATATACATTCGACCTTGTTACGTATTCCCTAGTTAATCTCATGGAATATGAATTTTGTTGAACTATCTCTTCATTCTAGCTCAGCCTCCCCTCCACAGCCACTGCCCAGCACCACTGAGGATGTCTGAAATACAGAACAGGCAAGATTTTGATCTGGTGTTCTTGCTAACCAGAAGAGAAGAGTTTTTCCATGAATAAGCATCACATGCAAGCTGAAAGCTCCTTGCAGGCCATGTCTAATGCTGCATGTGCCACTGGTTCCCTCGTGGTGGCAAAGGCACTGGCTTTGGCTGTCGCTGCTCTTGCAGCAGCCTCTCTGACCCAGTGCTGCAGGCTCCAGGCCTTCCTTTGGATGCAGTGAAGGTGTCCTAGGTCCACCCAACTCTCCCGAACTTTGCCTTAAAGACTCCCTATAGCAGTGACTCGGAGGCCTTTATTTCGGAATCCACTGTCCATGCCCACAATGTTCAAATGAAAAATAATTGAGAACAAACTATTAATCTTATTTGTTTATTCCTCTTTGTGGATTACTATCTCCCCCGCCCCCCCCCACCTCTTTCTCCCTCTCTCTCTTTCTCTCTGTATATTCTTTCCTGTCAGGCTATTGCTTTTGTTATCCTTTAAATCAGCCTTTATCCTTTCTCCACCTCCCCCGTGGTCCAAATCGAAATTTCTTGGCACATACTATACCTAAAAAAATTTCTTTTTTATGTGTGTAAATCAGTGCTAGAAAGAGTGGTACAAATTGTGGTAGTGTATTCCCCCATCCCAAGATGTAGAGACATAGTTTCTGCTTAATATCAGTGGAATTAAATATTTTATGCTAAAGACCTATGTGCAAATAAAAAATATTCACTATTACAGAAATAAATCAAAATAATAGGAAAACAGCACAGTTTTGTTCATGCTAATGTGTTCAGCAAAGCTATTCTCATTTTTTTGTTGCATTGTTGTTGTTCTTCAAGGACAGTTTGTAGTATTAGTAAATTTTACCTTATGTTCCTGGAAACTAGAAATTACAGTAAATCAAGAGTGAGAACCAAATCCCAGTTTTTTTTTTTTTTTCCTGCATGGCTTCTTTCATGAATTGCCTGTATTTCTTTCATGATTTTTTACGTTGCAATATTTTGTTATGCCTGTCTTGCTACTTCCAAAATAGTCATACTATTGTCATTTATAGCAAGTATAAATATAAACTACATGACAGGGAATAAATAATCCCAGCATAAATCATGAAAAGAAAACTACAGCATAGCTCTGTGGTAGAATACTTGCAAAGTCCTGGGTTCAGTCCCAGGCACTGGAAAATGATAACAACAACAATAAAACCTACTGAATGTTCTGGTTAAATTTAATTTAAGATTGTATTCATAGGTGAAACTGGTGTGTAAATCCATTAGGATTTATAAGAACCTGCAACAATAAAGGAAGAAATATTGGGGGAAATGTTTTAAGCTTTCCAAGGCAAGTTAGCACCATATAGTACAATACTATCAGAATATCAAATAATGTAAGAAAAACAGAGTTATGTAAGAGAACAAAGTTAAAATGAATTAAAAATTTTAAAGGAACAGTATTATCAATTGGGGAAATGCAGCATAGTGGCTAAACCACCCTAGGTTCAGTGATCTGAACCAGGATGTTCATCACCTGCAAGACTAGAATAAGTGCTGTCTTTCAAGGTTGTTGTGAAGAATCAAAATAATGTATAGAAGTTCCTAGGTCCTAGTGGTATTTTAAAAGATGTTATTCTCTAAGTAGCAGAAAGGCTTTAGGAGAAATAATATGTATTCTTTTCTGATATAACATTTGAAAATTTATTGTATGAAAGAGCAGCTGCTAAAATTAAATTACACCTTCTATTGAATAATATGTTTGTTGCTGAAAAGCAGCAAGCGAAGAAACTAAAGCTGAATTGTGTTTAAAATGAATTAGGATGTTTTTCTATGTGGAAGAAAATGTTGAACAATCTTTGAAAGGCAGCTTTCAACTTCAGAATAATTGATCTTTAATGGCATATTTGTAAATGTGGATTTTTAGACAGTTTGATTATTAAAACATATCAATGCATTGACTGCTATGCTTCAATAATATTTACAACTCAAAACCCACATATCCTAATTTTAAGGGTATGATATAGTTTAGAAACATTTATTTACTAAAGTTTTCAAATTATTAATTTGTTTGCTTTTAAAATATAAATACTTTATGTCAAGAAGAAATTGGTCAAGTTCTTTTTATTATTATATTGTTTAAAATATTCATTCCAAAGTCAATAGAAATGTTGCTTTATTTACTCATATCAAATACTGAATTTCTGTGAGAAATAAGTGTAAAACTTGATTTTTTTTTCAAAAATTCACATCTTTATAGCTCAGCTCACAATCTCACAATACAAAATAAGGCCCGAATTATAGTAATATTCAACCTAGGATATTTCTTTTAAATTTTTTTTTTAAATGTGGCCTCTGGTTAACATGAGGCAACAGTGCCACCTTTAGTATATTTTAATTCCTAAGTTGCAGTAAATATTGCTTATCAAGGTACCTTTCACTTAAGGAAACTGGAGGACTTTGAGCAGGGAGGAACTTAGTGCTATCATCTGCCTTCAGATGAATTTGTGGCATGATCTTAAATTCCTTTTGCCTATGTTTACCATCTTTATGCTGCTGACCTATGCCTTTGAGGTTCTGGTATATTTGCTGAAACACATATAAATGGTATCATTATCAAAAACATATATATTTTGCTCCACCACACACTCTCCACTGTGATGGTGGTCTGCCTCATCTCAGGCTCAAAATCAATAGTCAAGTGACCATGGGTTTCAGGCCTCTGAAAGCTTAAACTAAAATAAATTTTTCTTTCTTTGTTTCCCTCAGGAATTTTATTAGAGTGATGGGGAAGCTGACAGGATTTAATGCGCATTATGAATTCCATATTATAATAGATGTGAAATCAGGGATTTGAAAGGAGGTATATAATGATGTTCTGGCCTTCCAAAAACTTGTACTTTATGGGAGAAAAAGCTAATATATGTTATGCCATTAAGAAATATGGAAATTAGTTTTATATTAACAACATTAGGAAAGTGGGCAGCACACACCAGCTGTGTCTGACAAAATAGTAGGTATAGATTTACATATCAAGTATAAATTTATACATATTAATGTATAAATTTACATATCAAGTATGTTTCAAATATACCTTAAGGTATGACTCAACCATTACTAACTATGGGCAGTTAGAAAAGAGAGCCCCAGAAGTACTTCAGGAATACCTTGAGATTCAATTTCAGCAGAAATTTATTAAACACCTTAGAAACCCAGGGTGTATGATACTAGGTAGAATGCTATTTTACCTGCTCTATAGTGATTAGTTTGATTTGTGTGTGCGGAGTTAGTATCTTCATTATACAGAGGGGCAACTTAGGCTCAAATTACCCGGTAAACTGAATGTATCCAATGCCTGAGCCATGATTCACTGCCAAGTCATGAAATTATTTAACCATGAAATTTTCTATGGCCCAACACTTCTTAGCAGTTGGTCTTGTCAGTAGAAGAACAAGTGATACCCATCATCCCTTGGCCATCTACTAGTGTGACCTGCTTCCAATGTGAACGTAACATCAGAGCATCAAGTAATTGATGAAATGCGGATTTTTTACGATTACTATTTTACTTGGCTAATGGGGTGACTCACAAAACTTTGATTTTGTAAAGGACTGACAGCGTTTTTGAACTTAAATTTGAATGCTGATTCAACTCTTAGCAGTAAATTACATTAACTGAGTAAATTACATCAACAGATACTCTCCGAATCTGCCTGTCTGGGACCCATTGAGAATCAAACTAGGAAGAAACATAGTAGGGTTCAAAAAAAATTACTTGCCTCTCTGCCACCTGGATATTTAACTATTAAAAAGAATTAATAGAACATAAGGTATTGTAACCCATTTTGTGCTACTATAACAAAATAGCACAATTGGATAATTTATAAAGAACAGAAATTTACTGGCAAATGGTTATGGAGGCTAGGGTACTTCAGGGTAAAGTGCCAGTATCTAGTGAGGGCCTTCTATATCACAACACAGCAGAAGGCAACATGTTGGAGAGAGACAGAGAGGCAAGGGGACCAAAATTATTCTCTGATAAGAAATCCACACCCTCAATAATAAACCTACTCCCACAATAATGGCATTAATCCATTCATGAAGGCAGATCCCTCGTGACCAACTCTTTTCTTCAGGTCTCATCCCTGAACACTGTTGCGCTGGGGATTAAGTTTCTAAATCACAAACTATGGGACCTAAATGTAAACCAGTGATCCTCAAAGTGTGGTCCTTGGACTAGCAGCCTCAACACCACAATGTGCCCATGGAGGACCCACACTAGACCCACCAAATCAGAAACTTTAGGGGAGTGGCCATAAATCCATTTCAAAAATTAGCCCTCACAGGCTCAAATGCAGGATCAAATTTGAAAACCAGCCTTGCAAAGTATCTTTAGCTTCTTTGAATTCTAAGCCATTAATGCTCAGCCTTTCGGGCCATCCCTTTGTAGTACTTGCATCTAACAAAAGAGACAAGTGTGTAGAATTCTTAGGGCAGTGTTTCTCAGAGTATGATCCACAGGATACTTGTACATTCACAGAATTGTGAATTGCTGTTACAGAAACCACAGCATCATCAGTAACAGAGTTATCTGGAAGCACCAAGTGAAAAAAGCATTCTTCTACTCCAGTGTTGATAAAGTTCATTTAACCAGCACTATCCACAAGTAGGACTATAAAATACAGTTTACTTTATATTCTGTTGTCAATGAGATCTCTGGGAGTTGGATTTTACTGGGGCAAGAATTTAGAGAAGTGACTATAGCCAATGAGGCTGGCTGAAGCCCATTTCCCTCATACTGAAGGAAAGGTTCATTTCGGTGCAAGCAGTGTTTCTTCAACCTTCAAGTTTTAGGCTGGCAAAGAATGCCAAAGAGCACAGGAGAAAATGTGTATTCAGAAGCCTGCCCTGGGTTTCTGATGAAAGGTGATTTTACTGTGTGACTTCCTATAAAAATCTTTGTCTTTATTTCTTATTTTTTCTTCTCTTGTTCCTGTTTTTTTGTGGTTCATCATCTCTAATTTTATGCCTTGTTCTTCTCTGGTTTAAATAACCTGACTCTCTTTCTGAGGGCTCATTTATCCTATTTTTCTGCTCACGTGTTACCAGTCCATTTGTATCTTGTCCTACTCACCACAGGCAAGAAACAAGTTGCTTAGAATGGAATCTCACCTTTTCTCCCTGAATTCTTTTTAATTCCAAAGACTACCAACAAAGTCTCCAGGCAGCTGTGAGAGAACTGACATATAAACTGCCCATTTTCTCAGGACCCTGCCTCAGACTATTTGTGTGTAAAGATTCTTAGCAGGTTTAGAGAAGCAAACAAATCCAGGAGCATATTGGGGAAAATGGTAGAGTAAGAATTTTGATAATTAGCTTCTCCATAAAGCAATTAAAAAACTACAAAACAAATAAAAAGTGTTTATTTAAGGAAAGCAAGATATATTCTATTAAAAACCCATGGTTTATGTTTCAGTCCAAGATGGCAGCCGTCAGGAATAAAATGGTGCTAGAGCTCTTCAAGGTCTTATTCCAAAGTCATATCATTATTATTGGTCTGGTGGTTTCCTGAAACACCCTACTCACAAGGCTGACTCCAAGCTAAAGTCAATAATGGGTCAATGTTGATAGACGCAACATGTGTAAGATGACATTTAGAATAACAGCATAAAGGACAGAACTGTTTAAGAGCAAAGATTTTTGTATGCTATTGAAATTAAACTGCATGAATCCAAAGTAGATGGTTATAAATTAATATTTGAATTGTAATCTCAAGGAAAACAATAAGAAAATAAAAATATATAATAAGCAAACAAACAAAAAACAAGGGAATTAAAATTGTACATTAGTAACTATTTATTTGAGACAAAAGAAGGTATCCATGGAGGAGGGGGAGAAAGAGAGATAGAGAGATAAGCCCTAGATGAAAACAGTAAAATAGAAGACATAAATCCCTCATTATTAGTAATAATTTTAAATACAAGGTAAATACACTATACAACGTAAACAAGATCTAGCTGGATGCTGTTTATGAGACACACTTTAGTTTCAAAGATACAAATAGTCTGAAGACAAAAAGAATTGAAAAACAGTATTATGCAAATAGTAACCAGAGAATCCTAGGGTAAATATACTAATGCTAGGGGAAAAAAAGATTTTAAGACAAAAGACACTAATAGCAAAGGGACATATTTTATAAAGGTAAAAGGGTCACATATTCAAGAAAGAAAACACATATTAACAACACAGTTTAAAATACAAAAAAGTGGGTACAACTGAAAGAAGAAATAAGTAATTTGACAATAATAGTTGGAAACTTTAATAGTCCAATTTTGAAAATGAATAGAACAACTAAACAGAAAATCAAAAAGGAAATAAAATACTTGAATAACACTGTAAACCAAATTGACTTAACAAATATCTATAGAGTAGTCTCCTCATCAACAGCAGGATAATCCTCTCAAGGGCACTTGAAAGATCTGCAGGATAAACTATAGCTAATGCAACTCTAAATAAATGTCAAAGATTTATGTCTGAAAATGTCTGAAAATCATGTAAATGTGTTCTTTGATAATAATTGAAGAAAATTAGAAATCAATAATAAATAAAGTTGGGTATTTCAGAAATATGTGGAAATTAAACAATATACCCTTAACCCATGGCTCAGAGATTAAATAGCAAGATAAATTAAGAAATACTTAGAGATAAATTAAAAAGAAAACAAAACATATCAAAAGTTATGGGATGCAGTAAAAATAGTTAAGAGGGAAATAGCAAAGATTAGACCTGAGATAAATGAGATCAATATTGCACTGCAGGTACCAGACAGGGAAATTATTCAACAAATGAAAATGTAAGTACATTAAATAGTAGTGATTGCTGCACAGTGTCAGATGTCAACGCCCACTGACCCACATACACCTAGGGTGTTGATGATAGATGAATTAAACTCAATTTTATAAAAAGAGTTAAGCAGACCTTCATAAAAGATATGTTTGCTTGTTGAAGAATGAAAACAAATATGAATTTATTTCACCAACTCACTCCCCTGGTTCTTACGTGAAATGATTTTATTGTCATATAATGTCCACTAGTTTCCATTTTTGTGTCTCTCTAGCTCATGGAGAGAAGCATGAAGAATTAATTACCATGGGAAGTCCAGATTCTCATACCATCAGTGAGGGTCAAAAATCCTCAGGAACTTCCAAAACAACAAGGAAAGGCAAAGAAAAGTCTTCAGACAGAGAAAGGTCAACCAAAGAAAAACAAGCACCTCGCTTTGAGCCTCAGGTGGGTGTGGTCTTTTCTCCTATCGGAGTCACTTAGTGAACCTTGGCTCATTGGTTCCCTATTTGCCCAATTGTACAGAAGTTGAAATTGTGAATAATTATATCTCCCGGATTGCAGCAGCAACCTAGATACCTTAAGGACATTTCTTGGACATTTTTCCCAAAACCCCTTCAGCAGCTCAATATTTAAAAGTATTAATTGAACTATCAGTATGCAGGACACTATTACTGGAATGTGGATTTTTAAGATTAATATCATATAGTCCTTACCCTTAAATAACCCACACTGAAATACAGGAAGCCAAAGATAACAGGACTTTAGTGTTAGATGTTGTGTGTGCCATGGTAGGAATGGTAGGTATCTAATCCCACCTCTTCTAGGAGAAAGAAGTAGGCCCTGAACTGAGGCAATGAGCAAAGACATGCAGAGGCAACATCAAGTCAGTCTGGTATTTTGGACCTGTCTGGTATTTGGGGAAGCACAGACATTCATTGGATTAGACAAAGGGGAATGAAAGGAAGGGAGGAGAGTTGGGAATAGGAAAGACAGTGGAATGAATCAGATATAAGTCTCCTATGCTCATATATGAATACATGACCAGTGTAACTCCACATCATGTGCAAACACAAGATGGAATCCTAATTGGAATGGGTTGCATGTGTATAATATGTCCAAATATACTCACTGTCAAATATCTAAAAACAACAAAAAGACACGCAGCTCCCTTAGTACCTTCATAGCTCTCTCTTTCCTGATCAAAATTTGATCCTGGAAAAGTTTCTGAAAAACTAATTTATCAGCCATTTAAAAGATGATAAAAGCTAAAAACTCTTTTTAAAAATTTTTTTGTTTTTATTAGTTATACATGATAGTAGAATGCATTTATGCACTTTGCTATAACATACATAGATGGGGTATCCTTTCTCATTTTTCTGATTATATATGTTGTAGAATCACATTGGTCATGCAACCATATATATACATATGTGTGTGTGTGTGTGTGTGTATATATAATGTCTGTTTCATCCTACTATCCTTCCTATCTTCATATCCCCTCCCCTCTCCCCCTTCACTCCCCTCTTTTAAAAGTAAGAAATAAAAGAATTTCTGATTGTGGGATTTGGTTTCAACAGAATATTAGAGGAATTTTGTAAAAAGCAAGGTCTTTTGGGTAGCACTATAACCAAACTGTATATGAAAACCTCATTCAATGGCTGCAACCATTCCCTTCCCAAATGCACTATTGCACATGGATAACTGACAGTCTCAACCTAAGTGCTATGTGACTTCATAAGTTTTATTATTTAATTGTCTGGCAGATTTCCTGGAAAATCCCACTTCCCAAACTGACTCCAGGCTGGTTCACAGTGAGAAGTCTTCTTCCCCTGATGAGAAATAGCTTGAATGAGATTTTTCAATCAGAAGATAAAGGGTGGAGAAAAAAAAACCAATCCATAGAAATCTGAGAGACACCTTGGCATGCTAACAGGCATGATGGCAATGAGAGAGAAATAGGAGCCAGAGAAAGTGGCCATGTTAGCTTTTCATCACTGTGACCAAGATATCCGACAAAAGTATCTTAGAGGAGGAAAAGTTTATTGTTAGGTTAAGAAGTTCAGTTGATGTTTAGCAAACTCCATCCCTTTGGCCTAAGGTGAGACAAAGCACCAAGACAAAAGGGTTGCTCATGCCATTGAGGCAGGACTCACAGAGAGAAAAGGGAAAGGAAAGGGACCTCAGGGAAGATGCACCCTTCCAGGGCCTCAGGTGCACCTCCTCCAGCCCTGCCCACCTGCCTACAGCTACTACTCCATCCATTCAAATAGGATGGACAAATTAGGTTAAGTTCTCAGAATCTGATCATTTTACCTCCTGCATTTACACAGTAGTTTTGGGAGCAACATCTCATGTCTAAACCATAACAATGGCAAAAAGGCTATGTGAAGAACTAAAGTCTCTCTCCCTACTTGATTGCCATCAATGAGCATCAAATATATAGAAATTGCCCACTCTGTGTCAAGGCTGCCCTAGCCTATGGTCCATGCCAGGATCCTATGAAAGCTCAAAATGTTGTTCACTTTCATAATGAATGGATGGCAAGTATACAGACCTGGAAATGGTCAACTATCCTGCTCTCATTTTTGTGAAGAGATGTTATGAGTACAAATCAGTATAATTTAAACTTTATTGTGCATAAATGTAAGTATATTTTACAGAGAGTGATATGTACAAATATTAATTGTACAATTCAATGACTTTTGACAACTGTAACCATGATATAATTCATGCCCCTACCAAGGTATAGATTATATAAGATCCTTAAACTCACTGCAGTCAATTCTGTCCTCCTTATACCTCACCTCCAGACAACCACTCACCTGCTTTCTAACTGTAGTTTTGACTGTTATGGAATTTTATACAAGTGAATCGCATAAGGTGTGCTCTTTTGTGCTTAACTTTTTCATTGCAGTATGATGTCTTCCTGAGAGATTCATCCACACAATAGTATATAACAGTAGTTTCATAATGCTTCATATTAAGTAGTATGCAACTTTAGGAATATATATAGGAGTATATATTATATAATACATTATCAATTATAGGAATATATAATTTACTTATCCTTTCATCGGTTGATAAACTGCAATGAACATTCTTGTACAGTCTTCTGTGAATTATGATTTCATTTCTCCTGTGCAAATACTGAATAGTAAAATGATGAATTGGGTGTAAAACTTAGATCCTACTGAAAAGAGAAGAGCATTTGCCTCAAAGTTTCATTTTACCTTTCAGGTACCCGCTGTTCACTTGCAACAAGAAGATCCAAATAAACCCTACTGGATTTTGAGGTTGGTTTCTGAACACAGTGAAACTGAATTATTTGATGTGAAAAAAGATACAGAACGAGCAGATGAAATCCGAGCCATGAAGCAGGCCTGGGAGACCACTGAGCCTGGAAGAGCCATTAAGGTCATGTGACTGAAAACCTCTCTTTTTTTTTTTACTTGTCATCATTAGACATGATATGAAGGAAGAGCCATGTTGGTGAAATCATGCAATTTTCCTTTTAGGAATGATACCTGAATGTTATCAGACATTGCCTAGCTAAATATGTTAAGACCACATTTGGACACAATGTAAAATATTACCTTCCTGATTCCCAGAGGATCTGCAAAACCAAAGCACGTAATGGTGCCACTTATTCATCCAAACTATAAGTTTCCTCTCTCTTTCACAGAGCCAGGGCTATATTTCCATTTACCCTTAAGGCCCTCAAGTCATAAAGCATAGCAATGTTTAATGTATGCCTGCCTGTTCCTGGACCAGCCCTAGATAGAAGGCACGCGCTGCTCTACCTTGAAATATTCTCTCCCTCCACTCTCTGCCTGAGGCAGGAATCTTTGCCCCAGTGAAACACTATTACTACTGTTTCAGTGTTTCAGGTCCCCACTCAGGGTAATTGGGGTAGATGAGAAAGATTCAGGAGCACCTGGATTTAAGATAGCATGCCTAGGACTGCTTCTTCATATCTTTTTAAAAATAACTGTCAAAATCACAGATGGCTCAAAATTTGAATTTATTTATTAAATTTAGCCTGGTTCAAATTGTCTTATTCCATTCACGTGTTCCTATTTTGTTCACCCACCACTAACATGTTGTTGCCTGTACTGTTTTTTTTTTTTTTTTAATTTTCAAAGCATTTTAAAGACTGATAATGTTTCTCCTATAGGCCTCTCAAGCTCGTTTGCTCTACCTCAACCAGTTATTTAAGAGACCACCTGATTTCCCTGAGAGTTTGCTTTTGCCTGACAGCCAGATTAAATTTGGGGAAGAAGGTCAGTGGATCCTGTCCCTGCTGCCTCTGAACACAAAGCTATTGCCTGCACTTCTTAAAAATTAGTCAGCTCTTCATGCTTGGTGAAGAGGAAATGTTTCAGAATCCCTAGTCTCAAGTATTGCAAGGCCTTGCAATTTCAGATCAGTATATATAATAATTAATTTATCAAATCACTTCCACTTGTTTTATCATTTATATCCTACTCCCTCCTCCCAAGTAGATAGGATTTTCCAATTTTAGAGAAAACCAAAGTGAGAGTACAACTAGCTAGAAAATACTAGCATGAAACTTGAAGGCAGGTCTACTGCTATAAATCTGGTACCTATAAAATAACAATTACAGTAAATAATAACAATAGTCATCATCATAATAAAGCTAGGTACTTTTGTTGAGCGACTGCCTTGGGCCTGTCAACATACATTATTTTAATTTTAGTCAGCCCTCATATACAGGGCATTGGTTTCAGGACCCTCAATGGATACCAAAATCCCAATGTTGCTCAAGTCCCTTATGTAAAATAATGTAGTGTTTGCACATTCTCCTGCATACTTTGAATCATCTCTAGATTACTTAAAATACCTAATGCAATATAAATTCTACATAAACAGTTTTTTAGTATATCACTTAGAGAATAACATAAAGAAAATACTCTGTACATGTTTAATACATATGCATAAATCAAAGGACTAACTACCTAGTGTATGACAATATAACTTTTTTCAAATATTTTTGATCCATGATTGTTCAAATCCATGTATGCAGAATCTGCAAATACGTAGAATCAACTGTATACAACATTATTTCCAATTTACCAATTAGAACACTGGCCCAGAGTGCCTCAGTAATATGTCTAAGTTCACAAGACACCCAGAGACTGAGCCAGCACATAGATGGGCCCTCCATGTCAATGTATTCTCATAGCACCTTGGCTACCTCTACCTATCATCCCTCTGGGCTTTCATGGAGGCACGAGGGATTCACATTCCAAATTGTGTTATTCCATGTTCACATCTTGAGGAATGTCAATCAATAATTGTTACAGGAATAATATCCCTTTTCATATGAATAGTGTGAATAGCAATATCACCCTACTCCTGGAATGGGCACTGTGAATTATGTTTTTTGTGTATTATCCCATTTGCATATATCATAATTATGAGGCAGTCCATTACTACTTCCATTTTACAGATAGAGAGACCAAAGCTCAGAGAATCACTTTTACTCTTCCTAAGTCATATGTCGAGAAAGTGACAAAATTAGAATTTGAAATATTTCTAACTCCCAATCCCATCCCTCCATTATTGGATTCCAATGTAATGCTAGAAAGACAAGGGTGAATAGGATCCAGTTCTTGACCTTTAGAATATAGATTCAATTATTTTGAAAATTGTATTAAGGTGTTTGGACAAAATATGCAGACAATTGTAAAAAATAAGAACGACTTTAAGACTACTGAAATAGAAAGGAAAAATAGAATTCAACTCAGAATATAACAAAAACAAGGGGGTATTTATACCCAAATATAGGGAGAGTGGGTGGAAAATTACTGAGAGAAACTTTAGTATTAATGATTAGGGAAAAGAAACTTGATTGGATATCAGGGTTGAGGAAAGAGGAGCTTGGGTAGGGAGACTCTAGCAGGATTCTTTGCTAAAGCTGAGAAAAACAGGCCAAGGAGAATCTCTAGTTGAAAGCAAGGCTCTGAGAAGCCTAACCTTGTCATAAAACATACACAGAGTTGAGGCACAAATCTTAATGGTACAGCTTGATTGATTTTTGCATATGGAACCACCATTAGATTAAATCAAGACATAAAATATTCACTGCAGCCCAAATGTCTTCTTATTCTCCTTCCCAGTTATTTTCTCTCTCAAGGTAACCACTAGTCTAACCTCCACCACCATCAATTAATTTGGCTATTCTTTAATTTCATTTGTTTATATTCATACAATATGTCCTCTGTGTGTCTCACTATTTGGCAGTTTAATTTTTCCTATATCAGGCATGGTTGTTTTTACAAGAGATTCATCTATTTTTACCTAAGTCAAAATTATTGAAATAAATTTTAATTTACTCCTCTTTGGTTCTTGATCAGTCTTATTCTAGGGGTACATCAATTTTGATAATATTTTTCAAGAACCAAATTTTGACTACTATATGTCTTGCTTTTGTTTCAACATTTATTCATGCTCTTAAGCATTACCCTATTGCTGCCTTTCATTCAAAGAAAAATATAGTGCAAATTAAGTCATCCAAATTAATAAATAGAGGAATGAAGTCTGCCTAATGTGGAAGTTGTGGTAAGTTTTATAGTTTTTGCATGGCGTAGGGAACTGAAACAGTGGATTAAAGAGAAACCACCAAGCTTTAGGATTTCACAAGCAGAATCCCTTTTCAAATATAAGTTAGAACAATTTTATAAGTGCCTACACACAGGACTCCATTACCAGAGAGAAGTACCTTAAAATGTACAGTGGTCGGGACAGGGCTGGTGGCACTTTCTCCAGGGCTCACCTTCACAGCAGCCCAAGTAGTTCCAAGGTCTCATTTCTATTTGTATTGTCTCAGCTCCCAAAAGCTTCTACTTTTTTTTATAAACTTTTGATAACCTGAGGCAGCTTCCAGACACTGCCATCCTGCAGTTCACACCATTTCTGGTGGTACAGATGACAGGTTTTGCTAGTGCTGTGATTATAAGTTGCAAAGCTATTGAGTCACCTCCTCCAAAATCTGTGTTCCCACATGCAAGCCCTGTTACTTTTTGCCATGATTTAGTAGAAGGCAAACTTTATCAGCAATGTACATGTCATGTTGTAGGAGAAATGACTGCATTTTTGAAAGAGACAGATGCAAAGAGTCTTCAGCGTCAACAGAGTAGGGATATACTACTATCAGGAGGAGGAAGTATGTTGTGGAAGACGTGGCAACTGAGCAAGGGCTTGAAGGATCTGACAAAAACTGTTAGCAGTGAAAGTGGAATAGTGCCCTCACCAGGGAAGGAAGAGCGTGAGCAAAGTTTGAAGAAGGAAACCATCGGTAAGTATTGAAATAAAAATTCTATAAAAAAGACCCTTAACATATATGTGATGCTAAGGTTAATAAAACAAAAAAAAATTTATTTTGGATTTAAGGTTTTCATTTTACTTATCTGAACTGATAATTTACTTAAGAACTTGATTGCTAAATATTTAAAGAAAAAGTGGGCATAAAAAAAACAAATTAGCAGGTATTTTTTTGTGTATGTTTGTGTATAAGTTTTCTGTGTCTACAAATACTGAAAATGCCATTCACATTCTTTTATCTACAGCATGCTGTATGATAGATTTTTTTTTACATTTTAAGTATTTTATTTATAAAATGCTGAAAGAGAGCAATTTTCAGTGGTACAGGAGTCACATTGACTTGACTTGTGTCTATGTGGTTTATAATTCTTCACTAAAATGAATCAAAATATTTGATGGAAGGTTTTACAGGGAAATGACATTCCACACTCCTGGTTTCCATGATGAGTGATTATTCCTAAGAAACTCCTGGACTTTTTCAGTCCAGTTGGGGCTAAGTGTCTTATTTATTGATACATTTGGAAGGAATCCATTGGGAGCCTGGCCCCCACGGGAGCCTGAATATGTGCTTCTCCCTGAGCAACCCAATGGGCTGGAGGAGTCTGCCAACCCTGGGGTTCTGTGAAAATGGTCTTTCTATTTCTCACATCAAACTTCATCTCTAATTTAACCTGAATCAATAATAACGGTTATTCTTTGTTTCTCCACTTGTTCAGAACTCAAGCTAGAAAGAATAATATTTAGGAAGGAAATATTCTCAAAAACTACAGTGTTGGGTCTACTCTCAATATTGCTGACTCATTCTGAGAATTTTAAAGTTAAGAAGGGTTTTAAGAGTAAAACATGGCCTTGAGTGATTTCTATAGTAAAGAGGAAAATTACAACATTCAAAGACCCCTCTCTTACTGTACAAATAAGAGATTCTGATATATCTGAGCTGATGGAAAACAAAGTGCCTATTTAATAAGCAATGATACACATGACAGTGGCACTAACACTTATTGGAATTCCCTTTATATTAATATTTAATTTGTAGAGTGACTTTATATGTATTATCTCATGTAAGCCTCTGTGGATTATAAAAAGCAAATAATGGAATCTCTGCTTTTCAAATGGGGTATTGAGATAGTGGATTAGAGGAAGGCTGTTTTCAGTTGATCCATAAATCAGGATTCAAGAAATGGGATTCCTGCTTCTTAGTAATGTGTTGGAAATCTCTAGGAACACTTCAAGCTCACAGGGTAGAAACTCTGCTGCTGAAATACACCCAGTCCAAAGAAAGTATACATTGCTGAACACAAAACTTAACGACACTCAAACCTCAGTTACACTTTAATACAAAGAATAGAAGAGGCAAAACCCCCAACAAGGCCCCAAGTAGGAATAGCTGTAGGGGAGGAGTCTTAGGTCTCACTCATGGACATCTACTTCTGTAGCAAAAACAGATAGAATGAGCACAAAGTCTGTGGATAACACACCTATGAAGGGTCTCAATCTAGATCACTCTAGGACTCTTTGGCAAGAGAATGCTGTGCCCTACAAAAGCCTCATACATAAGCGTGGAAGAGAAGTTTATCCCAACATGTGCATAAAATCCAACATAGGAATATAAGAATTATGAAAAAGCAAGGTAACACAAGGCCTTCTAAAGTTCATAATTCATCAGCAACTACAGAGATTTTGAAATGGATGAAATACAAGATAAAGAATTCAAATTATTATAACAAATAATTGCTGAATTCTAAGGAAACATATAAAAACAATTGTATGCATTAAGCAAGTCAGTAGAGGACAAGTAAGGAGAGGAAATACTGGAAATGAAATACACAATAAATCAAATAAAATGTCCAGTTGAATGTTTCTCTGATAGAGTAGGCTACACTGGACAGAATCTCAGAACTGGAAGACAAAGTCACTGACCTTGAGCATTCAGACAGTATTAAAGAAAAGAAAATAATTAACTATGATCAGAATAAACAAGAACTTTGGGACAACATTAAAATACCCAGTTAAGAATCATTGGAATTGAAAAGGGTTGTGAGATATAGGCTTTTGGAATGGACAACTTCTTCAGGGAAATTACTAAAAAGTTCCCAAACCTTTGGAATATAGGCAATATCAAAAAAGAACATCCCCATGACAAATTATAATTAAAATGCCTAAAATACAGAACAAAGGAAGAATTTTAATAACCTCAAGATAAAAATGTCAGGTCACATTTAGAGGAATTCCAAGGAATTACTTTAAATTCCTCAACACAAACTCTAAAATCCAGTGGACTTAGAATCATGTGTTCCCAGTCCTGAAAGAAAAATAATTGTCGGGGCTGGGATTGTGGCTCAGCGGTAGAGCACTCGCCTAGCATGGGCGGGACCCAGGTTCGATCCTCAGCACCACATAAAAATAAAGGCATTGTATTGAAAAAAAAAAGAAAAAGAAAAAGAAAAATAATTGTCAACCAACTTCTCTATATTCACAAAATCTATCCTTCAGAATAAAATTAGCAATAAAAACCTTCCAAGAGAAGCAGAAGCTCAAATAATTCATAGAAATTAAGTTAAAACAACAGAAAATACTTAAATTCACACAGAAAAAATAAAAAACAAAACCTTATGACTAACACATTACTAAGTCTCCTTTGAACAGCAGCTAAGCAAATGAGAAACAAGATCAAATTAAACATTAGAAAGAAATTGGAAATAAATTGAAATGACAGGAATTAATATCACTCTATGATAACATTTAATGTAAATGGTATCAATTCTGCAATTAAAAGACATAAATTGGCAGAATGAATTAAAAAACAAGATCCAACTATACGTTGCCAAGAGACTCACAGAAAGGCAAAGATAGCCACAGGCTGAAAGTGAAAGGATGAAAATTTATATACCATTCCAGTGGAGCCAGAAAACAATCAGGAGAAAATACACTCATCTGTGAAAAAGTAGATTTTAAGCTAAAATTAATCAGAAGAGACAAAGAAGTTCACTTCATACTGGTAAAGGGAACAATCAAAAAATATATAATTATAGTAAATATTTATGCCCCAAATGTTGGTGCACCTAATCACATAAAATGGACACTATACAAATTAGAATATAATAATACTGGGTCATTTCAACATACCTCTTTCATCCAGATGTAAACTCAGTAAAGACTCTTTTGAGCTTAAAAATTATTATAAATCCAGTGGACTTAACAGATATCTATAGAATATTTCATAAAACACAGGCAAATACACTTTCTTCTCAGTGACTCATGGAAACTCCTCCAAAATGAGTCATATTTTAGGCCACAAAACAACTCTTAGAAAATAAAAAAAGATATAATTTCTTATATCTTATAAGAGTAAAATGAAATGAAATTAGAAATCAACCAAAAGAGACTCTATAGAAATATAAACACCAGACCTTAAATTATACTACAGCACTATAGTAACAAAAACAGCATAGTATTGGCACTAAAATAGGCAAGAAGACCAATGGAACAGAATAGAAGACACAGATAGAAACCCTCATAAATACAGTTACCTTATACTAGACAAAGTTCCAGAAACACACCCTGGAGAAGGGATAACCTCTTCAACAAATGATGCTGGGAAAACTAGAAATCCATATGTAATAGAATGAAAGTTAATCCTTACCTCCATGCAGGAAAAAAAATCAACTCTAAGTGGATCAAAGACCTAGGTATTAGACCAGAAACTCCGCACCTACTAGAACAAAATGTGGCAAAACATTTCAACATATTGGCACAGGAACTGAATTCCTGAACAAGACACGTAAAGTACAAGAAATAAAATAAAAATTCAATAAATGAAATGGCATCAAATTATGATGTTTCTTCATAGCAAAAGAAAGAATCAGGTCGGGCACAATGGCACACACCTGTAATTAAGCTAAAATTAATCAGAAGAGACAAAGAAGTTCACTTCATACTGGTAAAGGGAACAATCAGTGGCTGGGGAGGCTGAGGCAGGAGCATCATGAGTTCAAAACCAGCCTCAGCAACTTAGCAAGGCCCTAAGCAATTAAGCTAGATCCTGTATCTAAATAAAATTTAAGAGGGGTAAGGATGTGGCTCAGTGAAAGAAAGAAAAAGAAACAAGCAAGAGAATTAAGAATGTGAGGAGAGAATCTACACAATGGGAGAAAATCTTATCCATCTACATCTCATATAGAGTGTTATTTCCAGAATATACAAAGAACTACAAAAGCTTACTACTACTACTACTAATAATAATAATAATAATAATAAATAATAATAATAATAAAAATCCAATCAATAAATAAGGAAGGTAATTGAACAGACCCTTCTAAAAAGAAGAAATACAAATGATCAACAAATATATGAAAAAGTGTTCAACATCTCTAGCAATCAGAGAAATGCAAATTAAAACTACACTGAGATTCCATAGAACTCCAGCCAGAATGGCAGTTACCAAGAATACATGTAACAGCAAATGTTGGCAAGGATGTGAGAAAAAGGGAGCTCTCAAACATTGCTGGTGGGATTGCAAATTGGTACAACCACTCTGGAAAGCAGTACAGAGATTCCTCAAAAAACTGGAACATAACCACCATTTGACCCAGTTTTCTCACATCAATGTTTATAGCAGTACAATAGTTTAGCTATTAAACCAACCTGGATATCCATTACAGATGAATGGATAGAGAAATTGTGGTATATATACATGATGGAATATTACTGAGAACTAAAGAAGAGTGACTTTGTGATGTTTTCCAGTACATGGGTGGATCTTAAGAATATCATGCTAAGTGAAATAAGCCAATCCCCAAACCCAAAGGCCAAAAGTTTTCACTGATGTATGGAAACTAAACCACAATAAAGAGAGGAGGGGCAGTTAGAGAAGAGAAGTTCAGTAGATTAGACAAAGAGGAATAAAAGAAAGGGAGGGGAATAGGAAAGACAGTAGAATAAATTCAACATAATTTTCCTGTGTATGCATATTAA